CGTTATCTATCGTTATAGATCGTTCCAGAAATATATTAAAGTAACGAGTGANTTTTTTTTTTTTAATGATAGATAAAAATTAAATAGAGAATCAAAAGTTAAAGATGGAATTTTAGGCGTAGGAATCGAAATGTTTCATACGTTGATAATGTGATTCGTTTTATGGAAAAAGAACCGGAAAAATTAAAAAGAAAAATAGAAAAGTAGTTTTGATGAATTTATTAAAGAGATCGAAGCAAAAAATAATAAAAATGTCAGGATTAGAATTATTTATTGAGATTAAATATACGCAATAGAAATAAATGTATATTATGTAATATATTTTTTTTAATTTTTAGGTAAAGTTGAAATTTTTTCCCTAATACTTTTTATTTTACTGTCAATATTCTATATTTTAAGCAACATGGCCTTCTTCAGCTGTTTTTATTGAACGTCAATCATTAGTCAAAGTGTGAAAAGTTCATACGTCGGTAGTCGTTCGAGAAATACTATATTAATATACGTTGAAGCGAAATTAGAAAAAAAGAATGACGTTATACGGTAACAGATATTTTCGTGAGACTAGGCTAATTTAATTTAATAATCAATTACATTTCTATGTATAAATGTAAAAATATGTAAAAATAGTAGAAATTTAAAAAAAAAAGGTAATATTACAATTCATCCAAAATTTTTATAAAATATGAAAAATAAAATTGAAGATAGAATTTTAAACTGTTATACCAATAATTGTTTTATTAAATAATTAATTAAAATTGTCAAAAAACAAGAAATTTCTAAAAAAATTCAAAATTAATTGTTTTCAATAAAAGATATCTCTTTTATTTGTTTCAATGTGAAAAATGCAATATTAATTTCAAAAAAAAAGAAACAAACAATTAAAATAACTCTTAAATATAAAAATTCACATATAACTTTATATTACGTTCAATAGATTTGATTTTTGTTATTATGAAAGTTTATACGTGAATCCATCAAGTCGATTATGTACAACCTATTAGTAATAATTTCGTTTCCTGAAAGGAAGTCGAACATTATCTAGAAGAATTTGCTGCCGTACATACATAATTGTCACGCAATGTACATACATATATATCCATGGATATGAAATTCTTTTTACGTAAGAAGATATGAATATCGATTTTATTATAAGTCATTAAGAACAATCGTAACAATATCAAATGTACTTGGAAGATCGATCGTTTCATTCAATCTCTATGCGTCTCATAAATAAATATGTATCTGTTAGTTGTATAAAGATTTGTCTACTTCAAGAGTTAAACGAAGAAAGTCCCTATTCCATCAATTTTCAATGATAGTTTTCCCTTTCCTAACTATGTTGAATGCACGTTCGAATTCTAATTCTTGATAATACTTAATACTTAATAATACTTAATAATACTTAAGTTATAGCATTATTCTTTATTACTAATGAAATTCTTTTATCGTTATCTTTATTAAATTAAATTTTAAATTTTCAATTAAATTAATTTAATCAATTACATTCTTTATTCTTATATTTATACATTCAATGAAATATGTATATATATAAATAAATAATACATTATCCATATACTTATATGAACTTTGATAATTTGGAACTTTGATCTTTAATTCTTTAAAATAAATATTATTTATTCTTTATCTTTTTTATCTATTAATTATATTAGAACTAGAAAGCTATGTTTTTCACGATTTCAAGGAACCATGTAATAAATGTTCGTTGAAAACGCACATCACCATGTCATAATGGGTTGCTATAAATCTTGTCTTGGAAAAAGGCAACAGACGAACACAATATTGAACGTCGCATAAATATTTGATTCGACAAAGTGGCGTGTATCAAGGAATTCTTTTTATTCCTTCTAAGAACGTATTGTTTCAAAAGAGGTCGTCTCTTCGAAGGACTCGACTACAACCTATACTTCATGTAAATATAACTTCGTCAGTCAAATTGTTTTCTATTGAATTAACGATAGCGATTTCCCTTTATATGACACCAAACGATTTTATCCATGGACTTTCATTTGATTAACGATACGTATCATCAACTCAATCATTTTTCGCGGAATTTTATTTCTTTTTAATTATGAATTATATAATATATTTACGAAGAAAAAAAATGAATTCATCATGAAAATCTAAAATGAAATATTTAGATATAGGAAATATATAATTTTTTACAAATAAATTTAGAAAAAAAATATTTTAATAATTTTTTAAATTTTGTATGTACATATATATGTATATAACTTTATACGTGTATGTCTATTTTGTATATTTGTATATATATATATGTCTATATACATACATCCATACATTTGTGTCCATTATTTCATATTTAAAAGATATCATCATTGATTCATGATAAAAAATTGAAGTTTATTGAAATAATATTGTCTACAATAAAAAAGATATTTCTCGTATACATTATAAACAAAATTATATATATATTAATTTAAATGCAGATTAATATTTTATGCATCATAGATAAATAAATTTTATAAAACATAGATTAAAACATAGATTTTCAAATAAATATAGATTAATATAATATGTGTTGATAAAATATTATTGATCATAAATGCACAAAAATTATTTAAAAATTAACAAAAAAGAATTTAAAATTTTTAATTTTTAAAAAAAATAAATTAAATTAATTTGATTTCTGCAAAAATTTTAATTTTTTTTTTTTATTCTCTTTTAAAATGAATTCAAGAGTATAATAACTCTTCTTCAATTATATAATATCTAATATAATAACTTATATAATGATTCATTCGAATCTATTTTTATTACATCATTCATGATGAAAAATCATCGTGAATTTAATTAAAAAATTCTTCAAAAGTTATTAATCTTATTGCTTTAATGAAAGTTAATATAATAATAAAATAGAAATAAAAATATAAAATAATAATAAAGTAATAAAGTTGTAATTTTAAAAGTTGTAATTTAGAAATTTTAATATAGCCGAAATTGTAAATGTATAGTATAATAAAGGTAAATTAATATTGGTGATATATAAAATTGTTTTACAAACAATAACGAAATATGAATGAAAACAATATTACGTTATAAATGATTACTACATGTTTTTATCATTCTATATAAATTATAAATATAATAAAAATATATTAATTTATATCTATGAAAATATATATATTTTTTTTAATTCTCTGTATGTAAATTTACTGAAATAAAATAATT